CCATAGTGACGCACGGGGATCCCCCGACATGGCACTGCCTCTCACACACACGGCAATGCACAGGGATCTTCTGCTGCAGCATCGCTGCTCACACCCACAGCGACGCACGGGGATCCCCACCCCCTGACACGGCACCGCCGCTCACACCCACAGTGACACACAGGGATCCCCCTCAAAGGCATGGCACCACTGCTCACACCCATAGTGATGCACGGGGATCCCCCCCCACAGGCATGGCACCACCGCTCACACCCATAGCGACACACAGGGACCCCCAGCCCCCAACAGGGCACTGACATCCACCAGAATGCATGGGGACCTCCCAACGTGGCACCACTGCTCACACTCAGAGCGACACACAGAGACCCCACCCCCAACGTGTCACTGCCACGCACACACCCTGTGACGCACGGGGATCCCCCGACACAGCACTACTGCTCACACCCAGAGCGACACACGGGGACACTCCCCGACGTGTCACTGCCGCTCACACACCCTGCGACGCATGGGGACCTCCCAACGCGACACCACCACTCACACTCATAGCGACACACAGGGACCCCACCCCCGATGTGTCACTGCCGCTCACACACCCTGCGACGCACGGGGATCCCCCGACACGGCACCATTGCTCACACCCAGTTACTGCAAGGGGGCATTTACCCTCCCAGAGGTGCTCCTGCTCTCCCCCTAGAGTCCCTGTGCAGGCGTTGGGCCCCAACATGCCAGCACCTGCCACATGTGGCCTGGTCTGCGCCAGAGCAATGCCCAGCACCGTGTCCCCAACCTCTCTGAGCTCTGACGCCCTCCCCGTGGCCTGTCCCAGCTCCGCCCAAGCCCCCCCGCCCCCACACAGCGCGCAGGAGCCTTACTTGGGCAGTCAGGGCTGGTGCACTCCCTGGCGTCGGCGTGGGCTCCTTTGCACTCCGCCCAGCCGTGGCCCGAGACGCTGCATTTGCGCGTGCGCTGCTGGGTCCCGTTGGAACACGACACCGAGCACCGGCTCCACGAGCCCCACTCCAGCCACTGACCTTCCACTGCCGGGGAAAGCACAGGAGAGAAGGTGGTTAGTGCAAACAGGAGCTCGGGGGGTGGGGGGCAAGGGCAATTCCTCATAGCCCCGGTTTCCAGATCCAGGCACGAACCTCGTCCTCCCCTATCCAGTTATGGGCTTCGGCAACACATTGGCAAAGTGTGCATCACGTCCCCCTCTAGTGGCTGGCCAGTTAGAGGGTAACAGCCTACTACTGCTGCCAGCTAACAGCTGCGCCTAGAGCTGAAACACTAGCTGCCTGTGTTGTGGTGCTCAGGGTTCTGGGTTCGCATCCTGCCTCCCCGCAGTGGTTACGGCAGTGCCGCCCAGGCAGGTGTCACCAGGACTTGGCCCACTCTGAAGAACGGGGTGGTGGCTACTGTTCCCCATGCACCAACGATGCTACCGCTCTGCAAAGTGCTGCCGGGTAGCCGCCTGCTGTGGGGCTCTGGCGCTTATGGCGAGATGGGACAAGGCTCTCCCAGCACCCAGGCTGCAGCCATGGGAGGCACATGTTGCAGGGGGACTATCTGCCTTAGCCCCATGAGTGGTCCTGCTGCAGTGGCTCAGTGGATAGCAGGCCACGGCACAGTTCCGCCTGCTCCCAGCAGTTTCTTTCCAGGAAACGTGGAGGGCAGGTAGGGGGTGTCTGTGGGCATCAGCACAGCTGTGCCTGGGGACCCCGGGCTGAGATGCGTGAGCAGCACGGCAGAGCTGAGGTGCATCAGGAGAGCGGAAGGATCCTGCCCTGACTACGCCTCCCCCACACCAGATGAGCAGTGAATCCTCCCGCTAGCCCTTAGCAGGGACCTTGCTGGGGGCGCAGAGCAGCTGCGACTTCTTCCACTCCACAGCCGCCTGCACTGGTTTCCCAGCGGCTGCACGAGCTCCGAGCCAGCCTGGATCTTTCCATGGGGTGTCCTGGAGCGTTCACGAGCCGCCCTGTGCCATGCAGCACCGGGGGAGCTCCAGGGGCAGCAGGCTGGCTCTGCAGGAGCCCCCGCAGGTTATCTAGGCCCCCGTCCGCCTCCTGGCTGATGTGAGCCCTGAACTCCCCGCCCCTGGCCCCACCAGTGTCCTAAAACCATCGCCATGGAAATGCAGCGGAGCCGCTCGCTGGGAGCAGGAAGGAGGGAGAAACTAACCAATGCGGGGCTCAGGGATGGCCCCGGGGACAGGCAGCCCGGGGCATGGATCTGGGAGACAGGCCCGGCTCCTACACGGGGCAGCGTGCAGGCTCAGAAACCAGCGAATACATTTCCTCCCCATCGCTCTCGATGCGCCCCAGGCCCCTGTCGGGATAACACCGCTATTCCCCCGCCCCAAGGCTGGTAGCAGCCTGTCTGGCCCGTCAGCCGCCCAACAGGGCAGGAAAGAGTCAGCTGCTAACCTGCTGCCGCAAAATCAATAACTGAATAAAAGAGAGAGCGAGCGAGAGGGAGCGAGCGCGCGCTCTCGGCCAGATCCGCAGCTGGTGTGACCACCACCGCTCACTCCAGTGGAGCAGGGCCCTTTGACACCAGTGGGTCTCTGCCTCCCCTCATTCCCATTTCCTCCTGCTGGCTCCTGGTGGGCACCGTGGAGCTCTGGGAGGGTTCCCACCCTGGCACGCCATCCCCCGCCCTGGCCACTGCCCAGCTCGGCCCAGGAGGGAATTGCTCGTTAGCCCTGGACACAAAGCTACTTACAAACGACCCGCCTGCAGCCTGCCTGGTGCTGCTACTCGCCAGCTTCCCCCCGACAGAGATGGGCGACACCCGCCCATCACGCTGGGTCAAAGGCAGAGCCCGGAGTGACCCGCTGGCAGCCCAGGTACTGTGGGGCAGCAACCTCCGCCCCTGGGCCTCTGAGCGAGGGAGACACCCAGGAGAAATGAACAGTGTGCGGGGGGAAGAGCCCCCACGTCCCCGATCTCTCGGGGGGTATCCCAAGGGGCCGTGTCAGGACTCAGCACGGAGATGGGGGTTCCACAGAAAGGGGGAACCCCTCGTCCTCTGCTTTCCCCTGGCCAGCGACGGGGTGGGCAGGAGTCGCCGCTGACGGAGCTACACGCTGCCCCCGCTTTAAAGCAGCAGGTACAGATGGGGCGGCCGCTGGCAATTTCACACCTCGGCTACGTCCGCCTGCAGCCCCCGCCCGCTGGGGAGCTCTGGCTGCCGAAAGGGAACTGACAGCAAAGCCCCCTGACAGGACAGGCCCAGAGCCTCCCCGTGCCTGGCACCGTTCCCAGAGGGGGTCTACTTACAATCTCAGCTGGCCCACGGTATGCTCTTGCCCCTATGGGGCCCTTTCTCTGATACCCCACCCCCCCACAGCGCCTGCCCCATGCGTCCCCCTTACTCTGCCCTATATTCCCCCTCGCCCCATCCCACAACTCCATTCTTGCCCATGGAGCTCTGCCTACCCACATCTCGTGCCTCACTACAGCCACATCACATCACCCTCCTTTGCCCCCGCACATCCCTCCTCCAGCGCCCCAGGGCCCTGGGTGCTCACGGTGCGCCACCCAGACGTCTCACAGTCCTGTCTTCTCCCGTTCCTCCTCCCCAGCCCCTGGGGCTCTCCCCCTCCCCACAAGGGGCTGGAATCAAGGCTGCCCCCTGGGGACGCTCAGTGCATGTCACGTGCATCCCATGCACCCACAGAAATGCCACTTGCTGAGCCCGCCGGGGCCTCGGCCAAGCGGCCACATCTAGTGAGACGGCAGCGTTTGCTATCAGCCGCCGGATCACAGGCACCGGCCCAGTCACCCCAGTCGGGAGCTGGACGCAGGCCGTTCAGCCCCAGAGCTGGGGAACCTGGGCTTTAATGTTGGCGGGGGCTGTCTGTCTAAGCTGGAGTCACGTACCCCCTCCCGCAGTCACCCCAGCCGCCCCCTTCGCACTCACACCTCGCTCCCCTGGGTCACACCCCGCCGGCCTCCTTCTGACCAATCTCCCGTCCGAGTCCCCTTCCAACCCACTCTCCTAGCTCAGGGGAGGGAACAAATGGGCACGCCGTGTCTGCTCCCCAAATCATCCCTCTCCAGCACGACACCTGCATCCCGTGCCACAGCCCCCTCAGTCCGCCCCCCTGCGATCCCCCCCCCACACACACACACTGCTCCTTGCACGCCGAGCCCGCGTGCCGGCTAGTGGATAGCCGAGGGGCGGCCAGGGGACGAACAATGACCTCCATAGCTATCTCTCTAGGCTATTCCCATGGGAACCTAACGCACAGAACATCAAAAGTCTTTGCATTCGATTTCAGTCCAAGTTGGGAACCTAAATACCTTTGAGGATTGGAGCCTAAGTGCCCTGAGACCACCCAGGGAGGGGGGCTGCCTTTTCTGAGCGTGGCATGGGGCTGCCGCCGAGGGCGAGGCCACCCGTGGGCTTCGAGGGACGGCCAGGGAAGGCAGGCAAGCAAGAAAGCCGAGCGGGAAAGCGCGGAGGAGAAGAGCCAAGGAGCGAGTTACTAACCAGGGCAGATTGCGATATTGCAGGGCTTAGTCTGCACCTCGGGGCCCTCGCAGGCCTTCCCGCCGTGCTGCGGGGCTACGCACTGCCGGGTTCTCGTCCTGGCCCCTCGCCCGCAGGTCACGGAGCACAGACTCCACGGGGACCACTCCTCCCACAGGCCGTGCACTGCAATACAGCACACAGCAATCACGCCTCCGGCCCAGCCCGGGCCCAGGCCGCGCGCAGCATACGGCATGGCGGGGGACGGGGATCGGGGGCGCTCCGTCCCAGGAGTGCAGGCCCGCACCCAAAGCAGCTCCCCCACGGCAGAGGGAAGGGCTGAGCTGCTGCGTGGAAGACCTGGAAATACTTGTGAAACGGGGGGCTCAAATCCCACCGCGGCCTGGGAGGCATCACAACCCTCGTTCTACGGGTGGGGAAATTGAGGCACAGAGCGGCGAGGTGACTCCTCCAAGGCTACACAGTGAGTCAGTGGCAGTGCTGGGAACAGAACCCAGGAGTCCTGACTGCCACTTCCCTGCTCTGACCACTGAACCTCTCCTCCCTCCCCGGGGTGGAGGTTTGGGTGGTTGGTGCCTAAATGCCCTAAGTCCCACCCCCCACCCCAAGGCCTCAGCAGGCAAATCAGAAGCCGCCACCTACCATCCCGGCCCCTTGCTGCACCACCCAGCAGATCCAAGTGTGGGGAGTGTTATTCAGCTCTGCCCCCTACAACAGAGCGTCCTCACTTTGGATCTATGCGGCGGGGACAATGGGAGGCAGGAACGTTCTCGAAGATTGTAAGAAATGTTAAGGTGGCGGGGGGGCACAGAGACAGCGGAGGAGCGAGGGTCTGTCTCCCACACAGCCAGGTCAGACTCCCCTCTAGTCCCTAGTCTCACCCCCAGCCCCATTACCGTACACCCCCTAGTATAACCTCCTAGCTAGAGCAGGTTAACCAAAGGCAGCCTTTTCCTTAGGGCTGATTTCAAAGGGAATTTTGGCGGCGGTGACAGCGAGGTGGGGCCAAGCGTGATTAAAAGATACCGACGAACACATGACATGGTGGGAAAGCAGCAGAACCCAAGGCCCAGGGGATCTTTGGGTGATGGCCGCCACACCTGGGGTCGAACCGGGGACCTCCTGAGCTAACCGCATGAGTTGCCACAGCTGAAGTCAGGACTCCTGGGTTCCATTCCCAGCGCTGCCACTGACTCGCCATACACCTTGGGAGGAGTCACTTCACCTCTCTGTGCCTCAGTTTCTCTAGCTGAGCCTATAACAGACCCACATTCTCTGTGGACAATGCACAGGGGTGGCAGTGTAAAACGCCCCCCACTGGGTTACAATGGGCACCTAACGCCCTTCAGGCCTGTCTACACAAGAAACTAATTTAACCTAAGGTGTGAACCGAAACCGATTTAGTGCAAGCCCCTACTCCAGTTTCGCTTAAGTCGATTAGGAACAGGTTTAGTTGCACCAAAATAACCTGAAATCAGACCATCCACATGTGGCTTTGCTTCAGTTTAACTAAACTGGTTTCAAAACCTACACCTCTCCCCCGATAGAACGCTGTCCTCAGGAGCCAAAAAATCTGACCGCGTTATAGGTGAAACCGTGTTATATCGAACTTGCTTTGATCCGCCGGAGCGCGCAGCCCTGCCCCCCGGAGCACTGCTTTACCGCGTTATATCTGAATTCGGGTTACATCGGGTCGCATTATATCGGGGTAGAGGTGTATTTAGATTAATAAAGTCTCAGGCTAAAGGGGACCTCTGTGAGCCTCTGGCCGGCCCTCCTGTGTAGTACCAGCCCGAGAAGTTCCCTGAAATAAGTGCAGCTAGTGGCACCTTCCCCTGCAGACAAGGCCTTGAAAAACCACCTGGATGTCCAGCTGCAATCCAATGCATGTGGATGGATCCACGTGGGACCCCACTGGCTACCCCAGGGCCCTGCCTAGCCGTGAGAATCCAGCCACAGACGCCAATGGCAGGACCAGACACCGATCGGGTTACAGGGCCATGGCCTGCTTGGGACTTATAAAAAAAACTGGTTAATTTTCAAAATTCCAGTTTCTGGTTTTTAAAAATAATTCAGGTTTGTTAAAAATAAAACAGTCAATAAAGGAACTATTGCACTGGTGGGCGGGGGGGGGGGGGGTTTCCTGCTCCTCCACTGATGTTTATAGACCACGGTGAAACTGACGAACCATGGAGGGGAAAACAGCGAAACCGACTAGATGCAAAGGGCCAAGTTTCCACTGGCTCCACACCTGCAGTCAGAGCCAGATTCGCAAAAGCCCTCAGCACTGTTCATCCCTCACCCAGGACGTCAGGTGGGTGCTGGTGAGTGCTGGTCCCTTTGGAAAAACTGGCCTAAAGTGCACAGGTTAAACAAGCTGGACTAAAGAGAGAGACGTCCCCACCCTGCAGCGATCTCTAGTGTTCCCCGGGACTAGCAGGCTCAGCGTTTTCAGACAGAAATGGGATTTTTGGGCGGGTTGATGCTGTCCCCTCATCGCCTTGCCCTCGCCTGTGCCCAGTGCTAATAGAAACGCTCCCACCTCTTCCACCTCTTCGCTCTGAGGGACCGAAAAGCATTTCGGAAAGGCGGACTGAGCTTCCCAAGGCCCTGAGCGGGGAGTTGGGGAAACCGAGTCACAGCGAGGCAACGTGACTCGCCCAAGGTCGCAGAGGGAGCCAGTGGCAGAGCTGTGAATAGAACCCAGGAGTCCTGGCTCCTGCTCCTGGCAGACGTGGGAAATAAGCGCAGCTCTCTCAGCCCGCCCAGCTCTAACTGCGAGGCAACGCTCTCCTATTGCTGCATGAGCCGAGAAATACGATGTCATGGCGGGGCGGGGGGAGGAGGGCAGCCCTTGTGCTTTACGTTTCCATGGCTCTGCCTGCAATGTCAACATCTCGCCCATCTTCAAAGCCTTTGCGAAGCATCTTTAGCCCTCAGGGAAGCTCGGAGCTTTCTGAGGATCAAACAGCCGCTCGGAGGGATAACCTGAAAGGGCCGGGAAGATGAGGAAAAGACGAAGGCAACCGAGCCATCACTGAGATAAAAGCCTTCGGCCTGGAGAAAAATCTCATCCTGGACTGGGGGAGGGGACACAGCCAGCGTCAGCGGGGTGTTATGACATCACTAGCAGACTCTTTCTGCCCACGCTGTCATTTTGCAACAGCCGATAAGCTCCCAAAGGGGGCCAGATGAGACCATCAGATTAGACAGAGAGAGAGAGAATCCAGCTGCACAGAAGCAAAGGCCCCGATCCTGTAATGACCTTGGTTCCTACATCTCAGTCCAGGGTTCTACCCACTAGGCCGCACATGCCAGGCCGGCTGAATTAAAGGCCAGGCTCCCCAGCCCCCAGGCTGTGAATCAGCCAGTTTAGCACGTGCGCTGGCCTGGACAAGGCCCCTGAGCAGGCAAGCACCACATCAGTCACAGGGCTGCAGCGGGACCAAAGTGGTGCCTGGGTCTCGTGCTGCCCCCTCACCCCAGCGTCCTTCCCAGCCTTGGAGCCCCAGACCAGCGCCACGCTGGGCCCAATCCTACGTGGTGCCGAGCATCCCCAGCTCTCTGCTGACATCCGTGGGAGCGGAAGCTGCTCAGGGCCTGGTCTGCCGCCCCTGGCAGTTCAAGGGGCTGCCTGCGCTGCTGGCCGCTGAGCCCGAGCCGAGATGGATCACTGAGCTGGCTGGGACAGGGGGCCTGGGTGCGTGCCAGGCAAGGAGACTTACCCCCACTCGGGAGAAGTTGCCCATCTCCTGAGCTCCCAAAGACAACAGCACCCCAGGTGGTGGCTGTGCTAGCCCAGTACGTAGCCAGGGGATCGGGTGGGTCTGTACTCGGACGGCCAGGACATAGCGCTGTTTTTCGCACGCTCTCTCGAGCAGAGCATGCCCGGGTACATCTACCCGAGCAGGGAGTCACCCTCCAGGCTGCTATGTAGACATTCCCTGAGTGTAACAGCACCGAGATGTCCCCAGCAGCCAGGGAACCTGCTCCCAACAGGCTGGCCATGCACAGCCAGCACTCCAAGCTTAACGTGCTGACTACCTGCGCTCTAACCAGGCAAGCCGGTGCCAGGGATACGGGGGCTACAGGCACCGTCCTTCCATACCACTGCACACACCATCTCTATGGGATCCAGGCAGGTGCCGTCCTCTCCCGATTGAATCCCTCCTTCTACCCAGGCAAACACTCGTTCCTACCCTAAAATGCCTTCCTCCCTGCTGGGGCCCTGCAGCGGGGAGAGACAACCTGGCGGCAGATTGCTGAGCGCTTTGGCCAGGTCGCCAGCCCTGGGAGTTTCAGTCTGTGCCCAGGTTCAGTAAGGGAGGATCAGGGCACGCTTGCCTCCTTCCCCACTCCCCACTTGCAGGCTTTGGTTCTGCCCTGTGGGTGAAGGGAGCTCGGCCCCATGGCACTGCTTGAGCCTGCGCGCAAGCGTAGCAATGGTTTTTTTGTGGGTGCCTGTCTCCACTCGGAGCTGGGCTGAGAACCCACCTAACTCACCGCACCAATGTCATCATCAGGATCATCGGCTTAGAATATCAAGATCCCGGCCGGTCAGCGTAACATTAGCAATAAATACATCCCACTCACGCACGTCAGCGCCTCGTGCATGAGGCCAACGTTCAATCCTACAGAGGTGTCCCCTGGGGGACAGCATATGGGCTACACCGCATGCCCTGCATGTCCCTCACTCAGGCCACAGGACTAACTACTCTGGTGTAAATGAGAAATAACTTCTCCTGACCGCGACAGAGTCACATCAGCGTGACCCAGCTCAAAGCCCGGCTCCGCATCCCCTTTGACAGCTGGATCAGGCTCTATCCCTGCCCACTCTGCACTGCCCCAGGACAGAATCCCCGCCCCGTGCCAGCCCCTCGTGAGGGGCCACAGGGCCGGGGTCTGCTCTCGCACGCCCCAGGTCAAGTGGCTGTCCTGGAGCCAGTGGCGTTTCACCCCCTCTCCAGCTGAGACCAGGATCCAGTGGGTGGATCCCAGAGCAGGAAAGGACAGGAGTTTCTCCCTTGGCCCTTAGGACGTCCTGCCCCTGCTCCCCCAGGGGGGATGGGAACAGCTCTCGGGGTGGGTGGGTCACCCACGGGGAGGGAGACCATCACTCCAGCTCAGGAAGAAGGGCAGAGAAGCCTAGGGCCACCCCATCCCTACCACCAATTCATCATCAGGGTCCTGAACCCCACAGCTCACCTGCCCCGCAAGCTGGGTGTTCACTGAGCAGCTTGGGAGCCCTGGGGTCACCCTGCAGCCTGGGACGGGCGGCTTTGCTCCTCCTAGCAATGCAGCATCTCTGCACCGCCACGGGGCCAGTTTGTGCCCGTGGCACAGCCGGGTGAGGGGTGGGGGTAGGGGGCCCTCGTTATGAAATGGAACGAAGCGCCACAACTCCCCCCTCCTCACTGCCTGCCCCCCTGTACCTGGGCAGGTGGCGGTGTTATTGCATATCCGCGTCTCCCGCAGCAGCCCGCTGCACAGCGTCCCGTAGGGAGACGAGACGCAGGAGCGTGTGCGCACCTGGGAGCCCTGCCCACACGTCAGGGAGCAGACGCTCCACTGGGACCACTCCTCCGCGGCGGGGTCTCCTGTGGGGAGAGAGGGAGAGACACGCGTTGGCCAGCCGGCCTCCTTCGAAACGCAGCGCGCCCCCCGCCAGACACCCACACATGCACGCAATGCACAACTGGCCTGCGGAACTCACTGCTACATGAGGTCACCGAGCTTAGCAGGGTTAAAAATAAAGGGACTGGACATTTATCTGGAGAGGGAGAGGAGCCAGGTTTACATTGGGGAGGCTTAATAAACTTTGGGACGGGATCAAAGCCCTCCTGCCCCAGGGCTTGACCTAACCTCTAATGGTTCTAACTAACAGGAATCAGGAGGGAATTTCCCAGGGGGGCAGGTTCTCCCGTAGCTGCAGGGTTTATTCCTCTGAAGCAGCTGCTGCTGGCCAGTCGGAAGCAGGACACCGGGCCCGGATCGGATCCAGTCTGGCTCGGTTCCTGGGAAAGCTCCCTGGGCAGTGGTGGTCGGGCCGGAAGGCCCAGCAGCTGTTTGGCTGTGCGGGCCCAGGTCTCCATCTCTCTTTCTCCCGTGAGCAGGTGTGATATTGACATTTACAACAGTCCGGCCCTTATTAAGCTTGATGATCCGTTTGAAGTTATTGGACAGGCCAGCTGTAGGGATATCAGTTTAACTTAAGAGGGAACGTAGGCAGGAGGCATGGGACGGGGATTATTATTTCCTGGAGACAGAGAGAGCGGAGATTAGCTGGAACGGGCTTCCCAGCGAGGCGCTCACGTAATCAGTCAAAAATTAAAGGGGGGGATAGAGTTCTGGGCTGTTATTACTCATTACAGGCTGGGATCTGCTCTCAGCTCCATCGGTGTCAATCAGAAGTAACGTCACTGAAGCCAGTGGACTCAGCTAGTGAAAATCAGCATAAATACTGATCTCAATGGAGCCGCGCTGATTTACACCAAGTGGGGATCTGGCCCGCTGACCTCAATGGAGCTAGGCCAACTTACGCCAGCTGGGGATCTGGCCCACTAGATGCAGGGCAGCATGGGGTCCGGCACACCTCCTGTTTCGCTCCATGGTACGTGCACGCTGGTGTATTATCTGGAGTGGTTTACTGTCGTAGGGTTGCTGGGCAACAGTGGGGCTGTGCCCTCAATTTACAGCAACTGTAACAATCCATGGCACCTAGGCAGCACCTTTAATCCATGTATCTCAGGGCCCATCGGGTTGACTATCAGTCATTTGTTATTGTAGGGTTGCGCATACGCATCACTTGGTTGCTATGAAGCTCCTGGGCAGGAGCACTGGGGCCGTCCACACCACTGCAGGGCTGGACGCTGGTTTGTTATTGTAGGGTTGCCAGGGCTGCAAACACTCCTGTAGTGCTGTAGAGGTTCCAGTCCCAAACCGGGAGCTTTCACTTACTCACAGTTCAGTGTGTGTTCACTCAGCATCTGGTTCTGTTCAGGTCTCACAGCCAGCGAGACACCCAGACAGGATAATAAGGGCCCGATCCTGCTCCCAGGAAAGTCAATGAGAGTTTGGCTGCTGTCTTCCACGGGGACAGGATCCAAAGGGGCCGGGAGGTGTCTGCCATAAGGCCCAGCCTGTTGGCAGGCATTGATCTCACTGGCGGAGGAGGAGGGCTCGTTAATGCCAACCTGGGTACCAGGAGGACGAGCAGGAGCTGGGACAGAGGAAGTCCTGCGAGGGAAAGCTGATCCTGCCCCCTACCAAAGCCAGCTGCAAAGCCCCCTTGGATTCCAACAGGGACAGGATCGGGCCCCTACCCGGGAGCGACCTCCAAGCCTTGGGCATGGCAGGATCCGAGATCCGCAAGCCAGACTCACTGCACCCTGATCACTCCTGCTGATTCCGGCTCCATCCAACTTGCCAGGCACGGAGCAGCCCAGAGCGCATCAATCAGGGAGTGGGGAACAAGAGGCGCTCAAATGACCCAGTTGAATTCGCTAAATAAATACGTTTGAACTAAACAATGAATAGATTTTTTTTTTTAATCCTCTCAGGAAGGTGCAAAGAAAATACAGACATGGAGCAAATTAAGTGGGCGCACGGGCTGGGAACAAAGGATTTCGCTCCATCTCCGTCACCGGTGCTGCTGCTCCAGAGACTGCGCAGGGCATGTGTAAATGGAAGCCAGGCCGTTGTTTTTAAACTGTCAGGGTTTTCTTCTTAATTAAAATGCACAGAACTATGATCATCCCTGGGCTGATTTATGGGACAGCCCAGTGGAGAACTGGCTTCCCGTCACACGTAGCCTGCTGCAGAGTGCTGCTGAGGCTGGTCGTTTTTGCCCCTGCTCCACCCCAGAGGTGGCTGCCTTACAACGTTTAGCATTCTGAGAGCACTTTCATGTTCGAAGAGCGGTGCAGACATGAGCTAATTATACCGCACCACAGCCCGGGGAGGGAGGGAGAAAAACAGTATCGCCCCCTGGGTATTTTTTGTTTTTACACACGGGGAACTGAGGCAGAGGGGCAGCGGCCCAGATCCTCAAAGGTATTGAGGCGCCTAACTCCCAGAGTGACGTGACAAGGCCACACAGTAAGTCAGTGGCAGAGCTGGGATTAGAACTCAGGGCCTCCGGCTTTTTTTAGAACCACCAATGGGGCCCAAACAACAAGGCCCCATTGTGCTGTACATATTATTATTCATCATGTTTATTATGGTAGTGCCCTGGGACCGTCCAAACTCATTGCGCTAGGCGCTGTACATACGCACGGCGAGACAGGGATAGAACATACAAGAAGCCGATGGGAAACCGAGGTGCCGAGAGATGAGGTGACTTGGCCAGGTCACTCAGGGTGTCAGTGGCAGAAAAGGGAACTGAAGCCAGGCCTGCTGGAGCCCAGTCCAGTGCCCAGCACACTGGGGCCCTGGTCTCTGACTGGGACTCCTAGTAATACAAATAAATCATCATCATCAACCCCCACTATCCCTCGGGGCAGGTTGGGTGGGGCCCTGGCCCTACCGTCTGGCTAGAGAAGTCCTACAGCGCTTGGCTCTGGGCCAAGCCTCTTCCACTCCCAGCAAGCGCCACCGGCAGCTGCTGCGTTTGCTTAGGGGCTGGCAGGACTCAGGGAAGGGCCAATGATGCTGGAACGTCTTCCCCAGCCTGCAGGTAGATTTGTTGCCTCCAGGGGAGGCTGCAAGTCTATTTCCCCCAGATTTCCTGGGGGGAGCACACGCCTGTGTGTGCCCGGACATGATGCCCCACAGGGACTGGCTGCCAGTGCTTCTCCGGCCAGCATTGTGCAGGGCACGGTACCTCCCCAAGGAGCTCGCGCCCTGGCTACCCATCCCCGGTTTTAAACACTGCCTCACCCACAGAACCCGCCCTCCCAGCACCGTTACCTGTCTGGGCCATATAAACCCCGGGTTCGTCCGCCGACCTCGGCCACTGAGTTTTCACCTTCTGATTCTCTTCCACATCATCGCCTGAAAGGAGGAGAGTGAGACGCTGGTGAGAAAGCGGGGGGGGGGTGTGTGTGTCCATGACCTGGCCGACAGGAGTCCGGGGCTGCTAGAGGGGTCTGTGAGGGCTGCTCACAGCAGCCCTACACTGGGGGAATCCTCCCCCCCCCCCGTCACTTGGGGGCCCTTCACTCCATGGGACTGGGGGCCAGAATCGTATTATTATCCCCATTTTACAGACAGGAACACAGGCACAGAGAGATTTCCACAATTCGTCCGTGGTCACACAGTGAACAGGGGGCAGGGCTGGGACGAGAACCCAGGAGTCCTGATTGCCAGGCCTGTGCTCTCGCCACTAGACCAAAGCCCTATGTGCTTCCCTTAATTCTTCCCCCACAGCTCCTCCCTCCCCCAGCACACAGACCTCGCGCTCGGTGCCGGGCTGGAGAAGGGCAGACAGGCGGGGAGAAGGCTAAGCCACCTCCAGATCTCTGAGGAACGTTCCTGTCCTCAGCCGCAGACCTCACAGCTTTTGCCCTGGCCAAGGAACTGCAGTGACCTGTGCACCTCTAATACACAGCAGCACACCCCCCTACGCCTCCGACCTCACTGCCTCACTGCAGGGCACTGCCCCCTGCTGCAGCATCACTGCACTCTGCCTCTGACCGCACTACCCCGCTGCAGGGCACTGCCTCCTGCTGTAGCGTCACCACCCTCAGCCTCCGACCTCACTGCCTCACTGCTGGGCACTGCCCCCTGCTGCAGCATCACTGCGCTTGACCTCTGACCGCACTGTCTCACTGCAGGGCACTGTCTCCTGCTGCAGCATCACTGCGCTTGACCTCTGACCGCACTGCCTCACTGCAGGGCACTCCCCCCCGCTGCAGCGTCACTGTGCTCTGCCTCTGACCGAACTGCCGGGCTCTGCCCCCTGCTACAGCGTCACCGCCCTTAGCCTCCGACCTCACTGCAGGGCACTGTCCCCTGCTGCAGCGTCACTGCACTCTGCCTCTGACCGCACTACCTCGCTGCAGGGCACTGCCCCCTGCTGCAGCATCACTGCGCTCTGCCTCTGACCGAACTGCCCCACTGCAGGGCACTTCCCCCTGCTGCAGCGTCACTGTGCTCTACCTCTGACCAAACTGCCGGGCACTGCCCCCTGCTGCAGCATCACTGCACTCAACCTCTGACAGCACTGCCCCACTGCAGGGCACTGCCCCCTGCTGCAGCGTCACTGCTCTCTGCCTCTGACCGCATCACCCACGCAGGGTGCTGCTCCCCCACTGCAGCGTCACTTCACTCTACCTGCAACCGCACTGCCTCACTGCAAGGCACTGCCCCCTGCCACAGCGTCACTGCACTCTGCCTCTGACCGCACTGCCTCACTGCAGGGCACTGCCCCCACTACCCGGGCATATAGCCTGCATCTCAGTACACCACCCACTGCCTCGTGTTACCATTGAGCAGCATTCACAGCATCCCAATCCATCACCTCACTGCAAGCTTCTGCCACGTTCTGCTCACTGGCCGCCTCTCGCTCCATCCAGCTCTGAGCTGGCACCACGTCAGGACCAAGCTGCGTGTGTTCAGGCTGGACTGGGCTGGGTTAGCCGGGTGCCATGGGTGGAACAGCAGGGGGGTGGGCACAGATGCAGCGGCAGAGCTAGAGGCGTGGGGGAGGACGAGGCCTGGAATAGCAGGGGGAGCTCCAGGGCCAGACTGCGATGTATTGGCAGAGCTGGGGACCAGCATTGCAAGGTGCTGCTACAGGGCAGGTCTGAGATGCACTGATGCAGCCGCATGGGGGGCGCTTACCCAGCCCCTGCACTCACCGAGCCTGACTCCGGGCAACAGCGTTAGTCCCTTGACACTTAGGAGACCCCATGTTAAAATAAACTCTCCAAGAGAAGGCTGATCTCGCCCGTGCCGAGCTGGGCTCCCTTCCCCCTCGGAGTGATCCGATCCTTTGCACCGTCTAGTTCGCTGCAAAATCCCTTTGCGGATCCCTGAGATTTCATCTGGTTTGCCCGCTTCCCTCTGGAGGCCAGGCAGCCGGCAACGCTCATTTCTGCAACGGGCAGCGCCCCCGTGTCCCAAAGCCACCGTGCAATGGATTTGAGGCGCTCCCGTAAGCACATCCACTCCGGAAAGCAGGCGCACCAACGCCCGTTCTCCAGGTGCTAACCACCCGGCCAGCCGGCTGCATGCTCACAGTAGTACTTCACTGCGGTAGCGCAGCCCAGCCCTGGGCCCTCACCACCCATCCCGGCTGCTCCGCCCGTGCCCCCCACGCGCCCCGCTGACTCGGTAGCCGAGAAGGGGGCTCCGCCCGCCCACCCGCCGGGGCTTGATTAGATGGCGGTGTTCTTCACTCGCCACCTAACAGATTGCTGCAGCGAGGTGCCACAAATTGATGGCTCGGCTCACCAAAAATAACAAGAGATCCATCAAGGGTGCTTAGCGTGAAATTAACAGGCATGTGGATGTGCTCATCAAAGACGCATGCCAGCCGCGCGGGGGGGGGGGGGGGGGCTTTGACTCCTAGCCCCCCCTCCCATCCCCCCCACACCCTCCTCCCCAGTCCGCTCCCTCCCCTACCCATAGGATGACAGCGGACATCTTGGGGAAAGAATCTCCTCTCTGTGCCACGGCTGGAGTGGGGGAGCACGCAGACAGGACCACGTTCCCAGCGCAGGGCTCCCTCGACCGCAGGCCTCAGTGCCGGGAGCTCTGCTGAGCAGATCCGCTGAGCTACACGTGCGACGCCGCAAGCTGGCAGCAGTAGTAGGCTGTTACATTCCTTTGTGGAGCAGCCGATGAAGAGCGACGAGGCACTCGGCCAGCGTGCAGCATGGTCCTTTCCTAGCAGAGGCCTGCCTGTGTAGCTACTGCCAGGTGCATGGGGGCACACAGAGCCCCCCGGCTTCTCCCCTGGGTGTTCTCTGAGCAGGGTGCTTCCCTCTGTGCAGCCGCAGGGGGGAGGGGGATATTAAAAAGGAGCCCTCCATGTACACACACATACACAAAGCACACGCAGCCGCACAAACACAGACACGCCGGGACATGCACTGCTGCATGCATGGACACACACACGAACACGCATAAACACGCTCATACACGTGCAGGTCGGCATACTGGCTCTAACAACCTCCTCCACTCCCATCCCGAACGGATGCTCTGGGATGGTTTGGAAGGCGTTCCCTGCACTACCCAGCCGGCTAACAGGAACCAGGCAGCACCTGGAGTTTTCACTCGGTGCGTAAAGCGCTGCCGAGCCCCGTCTGTCAAGGGGAGCGTGCGGGGTTGCTCCGCTCCTGTTATCCCATCTGGCCCAGCGCCGGGTGGTTCGGGGAGGCTCTTCAGCAGTGGCTATTGCTTTCTGCTGTGTGCACCTTCCCATCTGCGGCGCCCCCGGCACACGGCTCTGTCGCTGGCCTGCAGGTGCTTCACGCCACAGGAAACAAATGGCAGTGAGTGCCGGCGATGACACTGATGGCACGAATATCCCAGATAATGGTCCTGGGCAGAGACGCTTCGAAAGAGGAGGAAACCCCCCCTCCAGAACTGTTAGGCTCCCAGCTGCTGCCAGCGACGGCCCCAGGGCCACCACCCTGGAGAAGCGGGTTTCCAGCAGCGAGAGCTTCCCCCCAGCACCGCCCTGGCAAGGCCGGCTGGGAGTGGAGCGGTGCGAGCTTCCTAGCAGCAGTGCCCCAGCAATGGCAGCTGAGATTAGGGTAACGTGAACTTCCTCCCAGCAGTGCCCTGTGAGAACGGGGCAGCAATGGAGGGCAGAACTGGGAGTGAATCCGTTTCAGAGCCCTCCTGCCCAACCCGCCCAGCCCCACTAAAACTGGACTTGCCAGATGCTCATTCCAGGGCCTGCCCTATACCAGCATGAGAGGGACCCTTGGCCTCCCACACCCTACCTCCCCGTGGGGCAGATGCTGCCGCTAGGTGGATTAGGCACCTGCTCTGTCAGTATCTCTGCTGTGCATGAAATACACGCAGGCCGCTGACCTGAGCGCTGACTGTGCTGACTCTTATTGATGCCATAAAGGGACCCAAATTTACTGACTGTTGCTTCCGACTCAATCTAATCCGTGCCCCGGCGCGTCCCCTTTGGAAGGGCTCCTCGGAGCCGCAGGGACACACGAGCTGGGAGCCTGCGAAGATCTCCCCAGCTCTGGGGAGACTGGACGGTGGATAAAGCCACCGGCTGAGGGCGGGTCAGACTGGGGGAGCGCCGCTGGGCAGAGCCGCCAGCCTCCCCACTCGAAACGCTCAGGAATTATGAACCGCGCAGCGAGTGCCCAGAACAAATAATAAATTCACAGGATATATGAGGGCACTTTCCCCACTTACGTTCGACAAAGAAACCAAATTCAATTTCCTTTGGAAAGTACTAAATCCCGGGCTGTCGCTCTGCAGAGCTCCCCCGCCAGGGAACCGGCCCAGCCTGCCCCCTCCCCCTCGGGTCCCTCCCCTGCCACGTCCTGGCTCTGCTCCCTCTCGCTCGGGCTTTTGCCGGCGTGGCTCTGTACCTCGGGTCTCTGGCTAATGGCTCTCTGTGGAGCCGCCTCTCTCCTCTGCTGCTCTGCCCTCACAGCCACGGGACTGGGGCCTGGGAGTGAGGGAGGGGGCTGTGCCGAGGACAGCACTGGCAGGAAAGAAAGAAAGAAAGAAAGAAAGAAAGAAAGAAAGAAAGAAAGAAGACCGGGATGAGGGAGGAAGACCAAGCAAGATGGACCATTCCTAGGGTCATCTGCTGGGGCCCTAATTTCTCCACCGGGTGTGAGTAACAAGCAGAGACGCCTGTGCACACAGGAAGCCGGAGAGGTGACCCAGGGGAGCTGGCAGGAGGCCCTGGTGCAGGAGCACGTGGTGACCCCACGGCAGAGCCTTGTTCCGTGGGCAGCACAAGGCGAGGAGCAGAGGGGACAAGGTCCCACGGGAGACGATTGGCTCCCAAGTTAGGAAACGGCAGCAGATTCCCTCCCCAAATCACGAGCGAAGTGACCCAGCTG